AGAAATTAAAAACAACCTATTAAAGTAGTGTGACAGGTAACAAAAGACATCTGAGTGTAGAGCACAGTTGGAAAAGAAAGTTTGTCATTTGAGAGAACTTTGCAGTTCATCACTGAGTAAGACAGAAGCTATTCTAAATTTATGAAAAAGAAGAAAAAAGAACTATTTGATGAAACAGCACTCCTCAGAAGAGAAAGATAAAGTAAATGCCATTTAAGATGGAAGACTCAGAAAAGTGGAGGACAGACTTCCATTATAGGTTAATACAGAGTGACAGATTATGATCTGAAAGAGCTTGCTTGAAGATTTCAGTTTTCACTTAGCTATTGAGCTCTATTTATTTGCTGGGAATTAAGGGTGACATTGAAGAATAGTATGTGAAGAACACATATCACAAACACACATGCAGAATTTATCTGTTGTTGACTTCAAGATATATGCACAGCTTCTCTGAAGGTCAAGGAAATGCTAGTTTGTAACTATGATTCATCTTTATTTTGAAGATGTTATTGAAAAATTTACTCATTGAAGTTTCCTATGCAGTTGCAATATATTACTTTCATTTATTTTCTTCCATACTTGTATTTTTGAGATACATATATATATATATATATATATGTATGTGTGTGTGTGTATAATATTGTTTATAGAGAGTATCCTTATATTAAGATGCATTTTTGTAAGACAGTGGAATTTAGTATCTGATATACCATTTTGAATAATTTTCTAAACATCTGAGTATATATCTGAATATTTTTGTCATCCTTTTTCATAGACCTCTAAGCTCTTCCACTTTGATGGTTACTCTTTATGTAATTGTATTTTATTATTTTACAGAGTTAAAATCAGTCGAGTAACTCCTCTCTTTGCTTCTCTACCTATTACAAGATGAAACTATCTCAAGGCAAACTGTTTTTCACAATTATACTTTAATTGAACTAGAACATCAGGTTATAAATATCACCAAGTTTATCAACATTATATCCTGAAAGAGTTTTTAAAGAAAGGATAAGTGATAATAATAATTATGATTGTTCAGTGGTTTTTATCCATTACTTGCCCCACAAAAGAGACATCAATGCCTCTATTACTTTTATCATTCTGATTATGATGAAATTGATTCCCATTAAGTAATACAGAAACTCCACAAGCTACTCTTTTCTGATTTCCAGAGCACTCTACACCAACTCTTTGCTGTTGTGAAAAGTATATATTTCTAGGCTGGAACTCACTATCTGTTATCCACCATTTGACTAAGCTATTGGTATTTGTGAATGGATACAAAATAATATAAAAGAAAGAGGCTGATTATAAAGGAGAGGTAATAAAAACTACACTATTTAACATTTACTAAGATCTTGATATACTTAAGGTTCTATTTTAAATGTTCTATGCTCTTAGTAATCCTAAGAGTGGATATTATTCTGATCTTAACTTTAGAGAGGAAAATATGGAGGGAGGGGTGAAAACATTAAGGTTGTCATTTGACCAAAACTAGCAAGACCAGGTTATGGATCCATAAATTCTGATACTTTGTACCTCGACTCTCTTCAACACTATAGTGGTACTAGTAGAGATTTGAAAAGAAAGGGTAAATAGAAAAAAAAAAAACAGAATTTTCACATTTATTCCTTTAATAATGAGTAGTTTCCCTTAATTATTGAAATGGAAGGAGCTTGAAAGTAGTTTAGAAAAATATAAGAGTAAGGAAGAGAATGTTGTGTATGGAACTTCCCCAAACCCTATTTGAAATATTAGGTTGTATATACCCATTGTGCTCAGATAATTCAGGATCTTGAAATCCAGACTGGAAAGGCTCAGCTTGATGTTTTAAAAAGGAGGAAGTCCCTGAACACCCTGCCTAGGGAAGTGATGTGATTAGAGTACTACTTTAGAAAAATTGATTTTGCATTTACATGCCACATGGATTGAAATTCAGTGGGATGTCCAAGAGAAAAGGAAGCTAAGAGCCACTAATGGCATTGTAGGTAGAGACAAATAGAGCCTGGGTTTGGAAGTTAATAGTGGAAACAGGAAGGAATGGGATGGATGCAGCAATTATGATGCAGGAATAATGAAAATAACTTCATGACTAATAGTGATTTCATAAGAGAGACGAGATAAACTCGAGGATGAATGTGATTATAAAACAATTGAGAAAGTAGAAAGAAGAATCAAAGTTTCTGATGTTAGGCATGGCAGACACTATTCATTTGAATATGTTTTGACTCTTTATATACTATTCTTTAATTGAAGAAGTACTTACATAATGGTTTTTCTGAGGACTGAGTAGAGGCTAATCACTTGTGTCATTGTTACATGTATGTATGTATGTATGTATGTACTTATACATAAATATGTAATGGTTTAATAGTCAGGTCATAGGACACATACAAGTAAGATGTAAACAAAAACAGTGTAGGAAGATACTAGACATGCAAAAATTATGTATGTTTCTTTTGTTAGTCAGTTGGCAAAAAGAAGAGACCAACAAAAATGAGTAAAAGTGAAAAACCCAGGGCAATAATAAGTTGATTTGAAAAAATACTATATAGCACATCTTCTTAGCTTATAGTAGATCCGCGATGAACCAAGCGATATGATCAAAGGTGAGAATCCTAGAAAAATTATCTTTCTTTTTACTCTCCAAGTGGTTAGCAACTTCCTTTTGAAATCTATTCTTAAAATTAATATTACATTGTTGTGATACACAATTTAGACTTCTTGACACTAGAGAGCCACTCAGTGTGAGGTGAATAATTTGTGGTCTGTTAAGAACAATCTCACTTAGTGTTTATGTTTTTATTCACCTCTGCAAACTTGAGATCAAAACTCTAGATGAAAAGAACAAAAACTCGTAACCTAGTGATTAAAAAATACATGGAAACTATCAACTTTAATAGATTATATTTAGATAACTTCCAGTGTTTGTTTTCAGATAAAGTCTTAATAGCAACCTCACATCTGGATGCTTCGGAAACCTGTACATTTATTTCCGAAACTTTGATTAAGACATAAGGTAACCTGAGGATTTCCAAGAAATTCATAGTTACTGACTAGAGCTGTAATCTACAAGATGTTATTTCTTTAGAATATTCACATCCAAAATTCATAAGCCTACTCTCCTTTTTCTTTCCCGGTATGAAAGACATATTTTCATATTTTACAGTGTTCTCACTTAACTATAGCTAACAGGACATAATCAACATTTTATAGCCATTAGAAATCTTTATACTAATGTTTGATGATAGCTGGAACAGATTTACTATAGTATTTTCATTCAGGTTTGTTCTTTTTATATATTTATAAAGCTAACTCCAGATATTAAATCATATATGTATTAATGCATACACATATATGCATGTGTTATAATAGACTATATAATATACTATTATACAATATATAGTATTTGTTTAGAAATTATGCATTTATACTTACAATTTTCTCTGACAAGACAAGTATATAGGTTTCCTTTTCCAAAGCTTGTAATTATTTCAATGTGATATTATAAAGTTTGTTCAGTAAGAATATACAGATTTGGGACCCTCTCTTCTGGTGCAATGGGTTAAAACACAGCACTATGAGGCACAGCACTCAGAGACAGCAAAAAATAGAGAGATCATTTTAATATAAAACAAGCCTCTAATTCTTCATTGTTCTAGAGTAGAAATTTCATTAATTTCCTCAGGATTTCTTTCTCACTTTTTGTCTCTTTTTGTTTGTTTATAGTCATTCATATAGTCTGTATAAAGTTTGTAAACTAGAAAGTAAAATAAAGTCCCACACAGAATGGTTTACTGAGATTGAAATGATGTGAATAGTAGATGATGCCAAAATGCATGCAAGAAGATCATATGTCTGCTTCTTAATTACAAGTTAAAACTTAACTATCTCAACTAAAGGTCTGGTTTAGTAAAATAAAATTAAAATCTATAGATTGCAGTTTTACTTTGTTCATAATGTCATTTTCTGTAAAACTAACATTCCCAAGTCAGTATGCTCTATATTGATTTTATTTACTTATGCATAAAAGAACTGGAGTTAGACCAGAAATGTAAGGGATGAAAGGACCCACCAGAGACAGAGTGGGGGGGCAGAACAGGCAGATGGACTGAAATACACTGCTGAGGAGAGCAGCAGGTGAGTCAGGAGAGGTTTGCTGAACCATGTGGGTCACCTCATTGGCTGGCGATCAAACTTGTGCTGCAATGGCTGCAGACAGCCTCATAGTGCTGTGCTTTAACCCATTGCACCACAAGAGAGGGGCCCAAATCTGTATACTTTTTTTTTTAAGATTTATTTATTTATTCATACAGAGCTGGGGTACAGGCCAGAGATGTGGAGGGTGATAGGATTCACCAGAGACAGAGTGGGGAGCAGAACAGACAGATCGACGAAGTACACTGCTGAGGGGAGCAGCGGGCCGGTCAGGAGAGGTCTGCCACGCCATGTGGTCACCTCCCAGGCAGGGGGCAGGCGGGAATCAAACTCATGCGGAAGTGGCTTTAGCTTCTCAATGCTGTGCTTTAACCCGCTGCGTCACCAGGGAGGGCCCCAAATCGGTATACTCTTACTGAACAAAAGTAAATCTCATATTTTAGGAGACAATTACTTATGCTACTGGTTAAATAACCTCTTTATTTTAGTTCTTTGCTTCTCTTTTATTAGCTCTCTCCCATTCTCTTTCTCTCCCACACACACACAAACACACACAAATTTAGGCTTGCTTTCTTTGAATGCAAATAAAATTATTCTGTTCTATAGAAGAGGCAGAAGTCAAATTATTCCCTCTTTAATGGAAATTTTCTATAGTTAGCATTGACTTGTCTATACTATATTTTTCTTGCATTCTGAGAGATCATACAGTGGCTTATGCAAATTTTATAATTCAAATATGTTCACAACACTAGTATCACATTTCTTTAATTCCTAATTCCCAAAGCATCAAGTCTTAATGATGATCATCTACATTATCTTGGTTTGTTCTTATTCCTTCATAGATGTTCCATCCAGTCCCAATGGAGTAAAGGTGGGAGATATGACACAGACCACAGCCAAGGTTTCTTTCAACAAGCCAGACTCCCATGGAGGAGTGCCTATTCATCACTATCAAGTGGATGTCAAAGAAGTGGCATCAGAAACCTGGAAAATAGTACGCTCCCATGGAGTTCAAAGTGAGTCAATGATTTCAAAGTGATTTATTAGTTCAATCTGAAATTCAATGTACCTGTGTGATTGGCTTTTTATTTTCTTTCAATGCTTTATTTTAATGAGGTGAGTTTCCTCTGCCCTATTCTACTTGAGAATAACTTTAATAAGAAGTGGAAAGTTTCCATCATGATTAAAGATGGAAGAGCTTAGCAAGATCATCAAAGTTTAAAACTGGGAAGTAATTTCTAAAACTTCATAAGCCATTTCACTAGTTATATGAAATATAAAGAAACAAATGAAGAAATGAGACAAAGCAAAACTAACTCTTTCATGTAAAGAACAGGTTGGTAGTTACATAAGAAGAAGAGCATGGGGGGGGTAAAATGGGGTAATGAAGGCCAAATGTGTTGTCATGGATGGAAACTAGATTTTTGGTGGAAGCCATGATGCAGGGTATAGATGTTGAATGATAATGCTGTACACCTAAAACTTAAATTAGTTTTATAAAATTTTTATTATAAAAATAATTTTCTAAAAACTAAACACTTGTAAATGTTGATAAAAATGGTGGTAGAAAAAAAAACAGTTGTTGATATGTTAAACTCTTTATGGCTGGCTAATCTGAAATCTTTTTTCATTGGCTAGTAATATTGCTAACATACATGTTTGGAAGTGTATGTTGTCTTACATATTTATGAAGTCATCTATAAAAATCATCCGACTATGATGATATATTTAATGTTATATTCTGAAAGCCCCAATTTTTATTTCATATATTGTCATTTTGAAGGCTATTATTTCCTAATTCTGAGAAACTGAGGCAATTTATACAGCATTTTCACTGATGGAGATTTTGATCATGTGTTGAAAATTTGACATTGTTCTCACTAAAATGAAAAAAAAAAAACTAAAATAGAGAATAATAATAAATTATCAGATGTAACTGTTTCCCATGCCAGTCAGCTCTTACACTTTGTCTCAGTGATGAGAAATTAGGGATAATGTTCTTCGTGTTCATGTTACTTAGTTCAGGAGAGATCATTTATAAAGATAGCTCCCCAAAGAATCAGTGAGTGAGTTACAAAAAAACAAATGCAAAAGGAATCATTGTCTCCAATATAGGTATTATAT